TTACAGGTACTTTTTTTTTGTTGTTGTAATTTTTAAAATCTGTAGTACTAGTTAATAGGAAAAAAAAAAAAATTCGCCTCTTGCATTTTGCTTTAAAAATAAATAAACTGAGGACAATAAATAATGACTGTGGATTATAAATAAATAAATAAATAAATAATTGTCTTCAATAAAATAATGAATTATTATTAGTCGTTTTCGAAAAATTTTTAACACTTTTACGTAGTAATAATAATAATAATTTATTTATTTACGTTTATTATTGTTTTAATAGCTTTTGCTAAGATAGATAGATAGATAGATAGTTTTGATTTCTAAATGTTTTAAAAGCAAAGTTTTTTCGTTTGTTTGTTTGTTTGTTTGTTTTAAAAAAAAAAATTTTAATTGATTGTACGACTATAACAACTACAATTCCTGGGTGTCAATTACACCGAATGATTTTCTTCCATCGGTTGATTCGCTTTATTATTATTATTATTTAAATTTACTCGGTCGATATATTATTATTATTGGGATTATTAGTTTTTAATTATTATTATTATTATTATTATTAGTTAGACGATGAAACGTTTTAAACTAAAGAATTTTACACGGCCAAAGTTTTTATCCATCGATTTATTATTATTATTATTTTTTTATTTATTTATTATTTTTGATAGGTTTTTTTATTAGCCATGTTTTTTCTTTCTTATTAAAAAAATTATCATTATTATTATTAATTTAGTGTAAAAGAAAAAAAGAAAAGATTAGTTTTATTTTAATTTAATTTCATAGCGAGTATATATGAGTAACAATAATAATGATAATGGGAAAACCAAATCGAGAGAGAAAAAAAACTCTATATATATTTTAATAAATGTACAATTAATATTATTATTATTATTATTATTTACACGTGCAATTTATAAAATGAATTCGTCGACCATGTAAATTCATTTTTTTTCTGGTTATGTCAATTCAATTAATTTAATTTAATTATTAAAAAAAATTAAATGAAATGTTTTATTAAAAAGGAAAAAAATGGCGCGAATTAATTTTTACGATTATTATTATTATTATTATTATTATTAATAATTTTTTAATTTATTGATGATATTAGAGCAAATTTGATGGACAATTATACATACATTAGGCAGCTGTATTGTTAATAATTATTATTTCTTTATTTATTTATTTATTTTTTTTGTGATTTTATTTTATTTTATTTTATTTTTATAAACAAATATGGCAACTAATTATTATTATTATTTCATTATTAAAAAGTTACAATACTATTACTGTTTGAATGGTTCCTTTTTAATTTTTTTTTTTTTATTAAAATGCTAGTCAAGTGTATTATTTAAGTACATTCCTTTAAAATAAATAAATAAATAAATAATGTGGCTGGTTATTAAATAAATAATTAAATAAATAATATTTTATTTGGGTGATTTATAAATAATTATCAATGGGTGTTTAAAAAAAAAAAAATTGATTTTTTTGTTCCTAAATTGTCGAATTATTATTATTATTATTATTATTATTAAATTTTTTTTAATATATCATGATTATATTAATATCGATATCATTTTTTTTTTTTTAATAAATTGATTGATTATTATTATTAATAATTATCGATTAAAATAATTTATTATTATTCTTATTATTATTAATACATTTTTTAGTTTATATTTAAGAAAATTTAATTTTTATCAGTACAAGAAATTAATCCGAATTTTTATTTGATAAGAGAGGCTAATTTAATTTAATTATTTATTATTATTATTATTATTATTATTATTATTATTATTATTATTAAAATAGAAAATTTTGTTTATTTTCTCTAGTTGAAGAGAGAGGTAAAAGAGGCTTGAAAAAAAACAAAGAGAAAAACTTTAATAAATTTATTTATTTATTTTATTTTATTTTTTTTTGTGAGAATTATAAATTATTTATGTGATGATAATAAAATTTTTTATTGAAATTAATAATCAAATTTATTTATTTATTTATTATTATTATTTGTTGTTGTTGTTGTTATTTAAACGTCAAATTATAATTTTAAAAAAAATAGGCTTAATAAAATTCGTTTAAATTCAATTAATTTAATTATTTCATAATTTTTTATTTATTTATTAACGGTGAGAAGTAAATTAAAACAATGCAATATTTTTTAAATATATATATATATATATATATATTTTAATAAATAAATAATTTGTAGTAAAATAATTATTGTTAAATTAAATATACATAAATTGTTTTTACGTCGGTAATTTTATTGAAAATTTCAATTAAATGTTTGTTTGTTAGTTGTTATTAATAAATGGAAATCAATTATTATTATTATTATTATATGTTTTAGTAGGTATATATTTAATGGGTAATCATATTTGATTGATATTAAACTTAAAGAAAAAGGTTTAAATTATTAATTAATAATTATTATTATTCCTATTCGTTTATTATTATCATTTGTTAATTTGTATAATAATAACAATAAATTTTTTATTGATTTATCAGGGATGATTAAACAGGGATATTATTTGAAAAATTTTTTTTATAAATTATCATTATTATTATTGTAATCTAAAAGGATTCGATTTTCACCAAGAAAAAATAGATTTTCCAATATTGAACTCGATATAACTCAAATATATTCCAGGGATACCGAAAAATTGACCTTGACCTTGAACTATTTTTTTTTGGGAAAATTTCATGCAAATCAATTTACAGGAATAAAATTTTTTCAAATAATAATTATTATTATTATTATTAGTAAAGTAATTTTGGACTAAATATATATTTTCAAATTAATAATATATTTATAATATTTAAATTAAAAAAAAACGAAAAAAAACGAAAGAGGCATGACATAAAATATATAAATACATATATATATATAAAATTTTTTTTTTTTTTAATAACATTTATTAATTAATAAGATAATAAATTTTTTTTTTTTTTAACAATGATATTAAGACTGAATAAATGAATCTACATAAATTATTTACATTAAAAATGATATAAATAAAAAAAAAAAGAAAAATACTTTTTATGTGGAATGTAATAAGCTAAATTAAGAATTTTTTAAAAGCGAAATTTGTTGTTATTATTATTATTATTATTATTATTATTAATAAAACACTTGCGTTTTTTTTTTTTTATTTGGCAAGTCTACCAGAAAATAATAATACAACTTGGCAAAAATATTTATAAATAAATTCTAATAATTACATATTAATAAAAGGTGAAGGACCCTTAACGCAACAAATAATTTTTTTTTTTATTAAAATGATAATCTAATTTTTTTTTTTTTTTTTAAACTAATGTGATTCATAATTTAATTATTTCTAACTTATAGATCAGGAGACTGAGCTTAAGTGATGATAATATATAAATTTAATCTGCAAATTTTCTGTTTGGATTGCGACCAAACAAAGCAGAACGAATTTCTGGAAGTAATTGTTGTGCTATGAGTTCTAATCTTGATTCCAAAGTGTTTGATATTTTAATTCTATCTCTTTGCGCTTGAAGTTCAATTCCACCACAGGTATCAGCTGGTAAACAATTATCTTTATCTATTTTCAATGTAACATCTTTTTTTATTTTTTCTTTGTATTGAGAAACGCAATTTGGAAGAATACTCGAAACAAGAGCTTCATCTTGTTGTCTCACTTTAATAGTAACAGCAGGTTCCATAAGCTTCCATAAGAAGAAATATTAATTAGTTATCCATTGTTTAGTTTTTATATTAAATGACAAAAAGAGATTGTTGTAATGTGACAGTTACCTGTAACAATGCTTGAACAATAAGACTTTCAAGAAGTTTTCCATAACGATTAGCATCTTTTGTAATTTCACCCAAATGACGACGAGCATCATCTAAAACATTTCTTACATGATCTTCACGAACTTTTAAAACTTTCAAACGAGCTTGATTTAACATGTTGGATGATTGACTGTGAATTAACATTTTCATCATTAAAAAAAACTGTTTAAAAAAACATTATTCTTCTATAAAATTATCTTATGAAAGTATAACTTACATTTTTTTTTGCAATTCAACTTGTTTTTCTTTCTTTTCATAGTATTCCATGATCTTGAGCCTTTGCTGTTGGACCAATCTTCCCTTTTCAATATTGAATTCTTCTTCAGCTTTAGCATCTATTTCTTCTGCTTTTTCATTTGCCTCTTGCTCAATAAAGGCCATCATATGTTTAATCTATTACAAAAGGTTTTGATAAAAAAAATTCTTTAACTCATAATATATTTTTTTTTTGGTGGGGAAGTAAATTTCAGTTTATATGAATTCAAATGAAATGTGTAGAAATAAACATTTAGTAAATGTATTTTATGTTAATAAGGTCAACATTAAAAAGGGAAAATAAGAAACACAAAGTTTTAGCAAAATTAGACCTGCAAATTAAAACGGTAAACCCAACCCTTACTTAAATAACATGATAATTAATATTTTTTTTTAATAGACATTATAATTTCCTACCTGTTTTTGAACATCTGCATCGCTAAGCGCCATTTCGAGTGTAGAAATATAAAATACCCTTAATCAAAACTAAAAAAAATTTAAATCTAAAAAATACTTGTAATCAATTGTCCACTTTGCAGACGATCATATGATCAATTCACATAACGGAAGTTAAGTAAAACAAATGACAAAAAGCCTTTCGTTTGTCTTTTATTTTTGAATTTCCGGTTATTTTTTCTCATCATTATGGTTTAATAACATTAAAAATTAATTTTTTTTTTAAATTCAAATTACAGGGAAATTTATATTAAAAATTAAAAAAAAAATAAAAATTAAAGGAATAATGGAGGGATGAACTATCGACTCAGTAGTAAGTATGGCCGATGTCTATTTTCTCAGTTGTATGTTACTTAACAGTACATAAAGGCGAATTATAAAATTAGTTAGTAAGTAACTGGATTATAAATCTGTACTATTATCTTTAGAGACTTTACTTTTGAATAAAGTTAAATTTTGAAATTTTTACTCGGATATAAACTGTTATTAATAACAATAATAGTGTTCGTTGCAATAGGCCTTGTAATGCTTTTTTCAAACATGGCCTCTTGTCATTGTGTAAAACCTAAAAAAAATTAAATGCCTTGGAAGAAACGCAAATTTTTAATTTTCATATTCGTTGGACTTGATTAAGGTTTTTTGATGTCACTCCAACTTCGAGAATGTTTCCGGGATCTGCAGGAATCAACAGCTCGTTTACTCCACAGCCACATTCTCCCATCAGAAACCTTCAGGGAATGGGCAGTAGTAGGAATTTCACTGGCGTACGACCGTTTACAGAACGAAGACCCATGGCCAGCTTAGGAAGTAGTAATCCCATGGGATCAATGGGCAGCTTTGGAATGCCAACAAACAGACAGTATGGATCACAAGGAACTATGAATAGTTTTCATTCTGTGTTTGGAGTTTCTGGTGATAATAATACACCTCCTCTTCTTGATCTCAATGAATTTCCATCACTTACAAACAGGGGGCAAGGTGACTCTATGCCAAGACCAAGTCCTATGCCTGGAAAGCAGCCCTATGGTAAATTTTTAATAAAAGCTATTACAACAACAAAACAATTTGAATTTTTTTAAAATAATATTTTGCAAAATTTATTAAATATTAAATTACAATTTTGAAATTAAAATTTATTACAATTGTTTTTTTTTTTTTTTTTTTTTTTTAAGTTGGTATGGTTAAGCAACCAACATCAGAAACTAGTGAATTCACAATGAGTAGTGAAGACTTTCCAGCTTTGCCTGGAACCCAAAGTAATTCTGGTCCAACATCAAGCTCAGATAAAGGTTTAGTTGGTCTTTCAAACAGTGATTCTTCTCATGATGTTACAAGCAGGGCGCCTGGTGCAGAAAAAAGTGGAGGAACTAAACGAGGAATTCAAACATCTCCAGACGGTATTTATAATTATAATGTTATGTTGCTACTAATTATTCATTTATGTTTTTTTTTTTTATCTAAAAAATTAATTATCTAATACATCATTATAAAATAATGAAATAAAATAAAAAATAATGTTGTTATTATTTTTTTTTTAGGCAAAGTAACTCACATACCCAACAGTATGGTTAAAGATCAGTTTGGTATGATTGGTCTTTTGCAGTTCATAAGAGCCGCAGAGTCAGATACAAATCTCATGTCTTTAGCGCTGGGGCAAGACTTGACTGCCTTGGGACTTAATCTAAATCAACCTGAAAACCTTTATCCAAATTTTGGTGGTCCTTGGGCGGAACACCTTTGTAGACCTCAAGATATCGATTATCATGTTCCACCAGAATATTTAATTAATGCAGGAATCAGGTGCGTAATAAAAATATATTTATTTATATTTTATTCGAAAACATTATACATTAAATAATTAATTCACCTAATTCCTTTTTTTTTTTTTTTAGGGATAAATTGGCGACAATGAAATTCAGTAGATACAAAGATGACTTGTTATTTTACCTATTTTATACATATGTTGGAGATTTAATGCAACTTATTGCGGCGGCAGAATTGTAAGTTAAACTTAATGAGAAGAAAGTTTACGATTACTGTTGTGTAAAAAAAATTATTATTTTCACACACGTTCCATTCATGTTATTACGTTACACGCCATTTTATGTACATTCCCTTGAGTTACGTACGAATCATTTGAAAGAGAATTATTTTAAATGAAATTTAAAAAAAAAATTAACTCATTGCATTCTTGAATGCCATGCAATCAAACGCATATAAATAAAGTGCATATTATTATTATTATTTTTATTCGTAAGTAAAAGGATTTATTTTATATGATTGTAGATATGAAAGAGATTGGCGATATCATACGGACGAAAAAGTTTGGCTCACTCTCATTCCTGGAATGGACAACACTTATTATTTTTTTGATCCCCAGAACTGGAGAAAAGTAGCCAAAGAATTTCATTTAGATTGTACAAAATTAGAAGCTCGGCCAAACTTGCAAACATTAGGAGCGCAGCAACCTGTGCAGTGATCTTTGAGCCTTCGATTTTTTTTTTTTTTTTTGTAATTTCTCTTCTTTTTTTTTTTTTTTTTTTTTTTTCTACTTTTACATTCTTTCAACGGGCTTCAATTTTGTAATAAAAAAAATGAAAAAAATGAAAAAACAAAAATTCTCCCCGTTTTCCCTTTTTTTTCCCCCCCCCCTTTTCTCCCCCCGCACAATTGGGAAGTCCGATAAATCGTATTGCATTGAATTTGAATAAATAAATCAGAATTTAAAATGATGAAAATGAAAAAAAAAAAAAAAAATGAAAGTAACAATAGAATTTTTTTTTTTTTAATAAATTTTGTTTGTCTTCTCCTTATTTGAATAATAATAAGAAAAAAAATTAAAAAAAAATTACGTAAAAAAAAAAATATTTTAAAAAATTAAGAGAGAAAAAAAAATAATAATAATAAAAAAAATAAAAATAAAAATGGAAAAAAAAAAAAAGAGAAAATAAAAAATTTTTTTAAAAATTATTTTTTTCTATTATTTTTTTTTTTTTAATTTATTATTTTCCCCTTTTATCAAACTATTATTATTATTATTATTATTATTATTATTATTATTATTATTAGGTTATCAAAAAATAATTTGGACACAAGTAAAGGAAATCGAATTTATGTCGTGAAAAAAAAAAAAAAAAATACAAATTTAGTAAAGTTTTTTATTTATTTATATTTTTTCAAATTTTTTTTTTCCCCATTTTTTTTTTTTTTTTTTTAATATGTATAAGAATAATAATAATAATTATTTATTTTACTAAATTGATAATTTGGTAATTGATTATAATTTTTTTTTTTTTTTTCAGGTAAATTGTTTTTTTTTTTTTTTTATTTATAAAGAAAAATTCTCTGAATCAAATCAAACAAATTCGATATGATAATTAAATTAAATTTTTTTTTTATTACACACATCATGATAAATTATTTAAATAATAATAATAATAATAATAATTGTCGGGAAAAATTGTTTTAAATTAACAAAAAAAAAATTTATCGTCATTTATTTATCGTCAGACAAATGATTAAGTACAAAATCACTATTATTATTATTATTATTAAAACAAAATCAAATGATTTTAAAAAAAAATTAATGATAAATTTATTAATTTGTTTATATATTTAAATTTAAATTTAAAATTAATTTAAACAAATTCACATAATTTCATCGTAAATAATTATAGGAAATTTGAAAACAAAAAAAAATTTGTTTAATAGAAAAAATTAACGTTACGCACACAAACATTTTACATAAATTTCATCAATTAATTAATTAATTAATTAATTAAAACTTTTTTTTGGCTACTCCATTTTTTTTTTTTTTTTTAACACACACTCATTCTATTAAATCTACAGTCAAATGTTGTCGTCAGATATATATATATATTTTTATAAAGAAAAACTATAATATATATAAAATTACGATTAATATTAATAATAATAATAATAAGAAAATTTATTTTTTTTCTTCTTTGTCTCTACCACATATTTATTTATTTATTTATTACACATGGCAGAATGAATGAATGAATGAATGAGATCTTTTAAAAATTCAGACTGTTTAAATTTATTTAAATATTGTTATTAAAATCATAAAAACTAATTCTATTTATTTATTTATTTATTAATATTATTAACTATTATTTAAGGTATTTTTTGTACTTTATTTTTATCATTTTTATTAATATTTTTTTTTTGGTCGGTTTTTTTTTTTTTTTAAATTAATTATTTTTTATTAATTATTATTATTATTATTATTATTAAAAAATAATTCTCATTTCAAAATGCCAGTTTAGCAAAAATAATTAATAAATGAAATTACATAAAAATTATTATTATTATTATTATTATTATTATTATTAAAAAAAACCAACACACGAGTTATTATTACAGACTAGGAATAAAAAAAGCTCTTATTGATTGCTTAGTTATGATTTTCATAATAATAATAATAATAATAATTACATAAATATACATAAAAGATATATACGAAGCTAATTTTTTTTTTAAACTAAATAATTTCTTAACATTTAAATACTTTTGTAAATATTTATTATTATTATTATTATTATTTTTTTTAAATATTTTTTATTTTTATTTTTTTTTTCTTTAATATTTTTGGTAAATATAGTCACAGCTTTTTTTTTTTTTTTTTTTTTTTTTTTATTGATTACTATAATTAAATATTGACTTAATTAATACGTGTAAAACATAATGTTTTTTTGTTTTTAATATTTAAAAAATATTAATGATAATAATAATAAAATGAGAAGAATGAATAATAAATGCCCGGATGATATTAGTAAAATTTAATTGGGAAAACGAGAATAAGAGGAAGGTTTATTTAAAAAAAAAAAAAAAAAATGAGGAAAACTCAAGTCAAATCGCAATGAAAGGTTGATGGTGGAACTTCCTCTTCCTCTTCGGCAACGGATTGCATCCCTGATGTCGGCCATTCCTCTCCGGATTCCCAGCTTTCTTCAGAGCTTAAACTTCCAAATCTGGAACGAAGAGGAAGTTGCAACTGTCCGTGTTCGTCGATCGTCGGAAGAGTAGATACCAGTTTATCGGTTGGCCTAAGTAATCTCATGGTGCGTTGACTAAGGCGCCAGACAAGACGCTGACGATAAGGCATTTGGGTGTGAGCATTATAACGACCGAGAATTCTTACGATGGTTTCGTGGCAAAGACAAAAATTTTCGTCCGTGATTTGACATATTTTACGAAGCTCAAGGACCAAACCTACAAGGCGAGAGATTTCTGGATATTTGTTTGTGTATAAGTGAAACGTCGAGCACAGCAACACCAGTGCTATTTCAACGGGACGGTAGTTGGAACAGGTTACATCGCAAATGATTATTTCAAGCTGAACCCAAATTGAACATTGCGACATGACTTGGGAATAAACATCTGATATTCCAGCTTCTTTTGCCGCTGTTGCGAAAATCGAATTCAACAATCGGACAAATGTAAGAGCAGTTATTGGTAAAGTGTTGGGTTCTGCTCCCAATTTTTGAGATATTATTCCTTCCATGCGTGTCAAATCTCCAAGAGTGCATTTGCATTGAGAAATCGAAGCTAAATCTTTAGAATCGGGTATTTCCACAACTTCGTCTGACCTCAATGCGGAAGAAACTTGACGAGCTGCTAATTGGAAAGCTGCCACAGATATGCATGCCATGTGTTTGGGACGAGCCTAAAAATTCAAAAAAAACATGTAACTCAAATGGTTCGAAAAAAATAAAGCTGTACTAAAAACATAATAATTTTTTATAAAATTTAATTTACTTTAAATTACTACCACATAAATAATAATTTAAGTTATTTTACAGGTTCCTACAGCATTGTAACTTGTAAATGTTTTAACTTACCATCATTTTAGTCAAGAATCTGTCCATGAGGTTGATAGCGACAAAAAGAACATCAGATGGTAAATCATACCAAACCTTGAGACATCGTAAAACATGAGCTGAACCATCTCGAATTCCAGCTGTAATTTCCCCTGGATCATCGCTAGATTCTGGAAGTTCTAAATGAGGCTGAAATTTTGGTTCCAGGGTAAGTGCCTCTTGAAGTTTGTTTATAAGAGACATCAGCTCCCCTGCAGGCCTGCCTGGGTCCATCCCTGAGGTGAATGGTCCCAATAATGGAAACACCACAAGAATGGCCCAATGACAGGCCTGTAACTGTAAGAAAAAAAATCTCATTTAATTTTTTATTTTCCATAAATATTTTATAAATACAAATAAATCAAATACCATTATTTACCAAAAAAAAACTATAAATTCAAATTAAAATATCAAGTCAAGTTTAAATTTTAACTGTAATGGAGTTTTGAATGTAATGGCTAATGCTATGAACTTTAACAACCATCTATTACTTTTTTAATATAATTCAAATTAAAAATCTCAAAATGAATAAGTTATTTCTACATAATTAATTAAAAAACACATCAAATGTAAATCAATTAAAGGGAAGATAGCAAATTTATATAAAATAATCAAGCATTTTTTTTCTATAGATAAAGATAAATAAAGAAAATACAAACAAAGAAAACCATTGTCCTTGGCTTTAATTTTCAATATTTAAAAAAAATTGCGTCATTTATTTTAGAAATAAAGTTAAAATATGAAATAAAATAAAATATTTACTTGAATGCTTCCACAATGTTGTTTTTATGTACACCCAGCCACCTTCTCAACTCCTGCTGCGCTTAAAATAAATTTTAAATGAAAATGAAAAAGGCAGTAAAGTGGACTTTACGAAATGACAGTTATTTTACTAATGGCGTCCTATTACTTAGCTCAGCTGATGTATTCGGCGGTTCAATCATTCTTCCTTTTAATTTGATTAATTTGAAAAAAAATTTCATTATTCATATTTAGAGGTTGTTAAAAATATTTTTTTATTTTTTAATCAAGTTTTATTAATCACGAATAAAATTTAAAAGGTTTAAAAATAATATTTAATTCATTTGGAAACTGAGTTACTGTAATGAATTATTAATGAATTGCTTTGTTTTTCAAATTTAAAACAAAGTAAATTTCTGCGTCTTAAATTTAATATTAAATAAACTATAAATTTTTTTATCTAGACAGGAAAAAATGTTTTAAAATTTGTTTTTGTTTTTTTTTTTTTAGTGTTAAACCTATTTATTAATTACCTTATCATTAAATTTAAATATGATTATATATATATTTAAATATGATTAATAATAAGATTAATAAAATCAGTCCAGAAAACATCAGTGCCTCCGTGGCGCAATCGGCTAGCGCGTTCGGCTGTTAACCGAAAGGTTGGTGGTTCGAGCCCACCCGGGGGCGTTATTCTTTTTTTACACAAACTTTTTTTTTTTTTTCATTTTTACAACTTTAAATAATAGTTAATAAATTATAAATGAATAAAGAAACACGACCAACTTTTATTATAATTAACTTTAAAAAATACGAAATTATTTATTTCAATAAAATTACTACAATTAATATCATTAATAATAAATACTTACTTCAGTTAAAAAATTTTTTTTTCATTTTCTACTTCAACTCTATTATTAACGAATTTTCGCTTTTTTTTTCTACATAAACAATTAAAAAAGTTTTTAAAATACTTTAACGTTTAGTATTAAATGTTGTTAGTCAGAAGGAAAATTACAAACTTAAAAAAAATAATAAAATAAAAAATTTATAAGTCATTTATTGATTTTTATTACTCCAATATTTACTTTTTACTTTTTTGACAAATCAACTTATATATATATATATATATATATATATATATATAAATTAAGGCCAAAGAAAAAAATATATATATTTGACACTGGATTAGCTTTATTAACATTTGTGATATTTTATTTATTATTATTTTAATTGTTTTTTTATAAAATATTATTTTTTAAGTTGTAACATATATAGTGTATTGTGTATTAAACTTTTTTCATTGATATAAAAATAATCAAATTTTTTTTTTAGGGGGGGGGGTTAAAAAAAACAAAAAAAATTAAAGGGGTAATCATTATCATAAACAAAAATAATAAGAAAAGTACGACGAGGATGGGATTCGAACCCACGCGTGCAGAGCACATTGGATTAGCAGTCCAACGCCTTAACCACTCGGCCACCTCGTCACTTAAAAATTTTTAAAAAGTCAAATAAATTAAAAAAAAAATGGGGAATTTTATCATCGTAACCTGTTTGGGTATTTTTTAATTAATAAAAAATTTATTAATTTTATTTAATTAATGTTTAATGACAACAAATCGGTGGTGAACGAAAAAAAAATGACTAATTTAAACAAGGAAAAAAAATAATGCTGACGATGATGATGATACAGCTTCCAAAAATAACAATTTTTTTTTTAATTGTAAATATTTGTCAGACAATGTTTAAATAACATTTCGTTATTGTTTATTGTTTTTTTTTTTTTTTTTTTTTTTTTTTTTTTTACATAAAAATCATGCACGAAAAATATGATTTTGTTATCATAACATTGCAAACCGTTGTTGTGTTGTTTTTAGTTAATCATCCTTAAAATTAATCAATTCTTGAAAAAAAAATGAATTTTTTTTTTTTTTTTTTTTTTTGGGTTTTTGTAAAACAAAAATCAACTAACGGCTAAAGAAAATTATTTGTAAAAATTAAATTTTTTTAATAATTTGACATTTAATTTTGTGATGACGACTGGTTATTCAAGTTGATTCAAAAGTTCAAATTTTTTTTTTATTTCCTTAATGTCTAATCTTCTTTAAAAAAAATTATTTTTCAAGTTTGAAATGAATTAAATTTTTTTTTTTTGTTTTACTTTAAGTTTTTTTTATCAGGTCGATTAGAAAAATTAAAAAAAAAAAAATTATTTTTGTTATTCTTTGTTGACCAAATAATTTAGTAAATTTTTTTTTTTTTTTATTTCTGACTTTGAAAATTTTTTAAATTTATTTAATTTCGGTTTAAATTATTAATATCAAAATTTTTTCATCGTAGGTACGCTTAATAACAATAAAACAGAGGCTAAATTAGGAAAATAAATAATTCGATGGGGGAGAGGGAAAAAAATAATAATTGTAAAATGTGGGGAATATCTGAGGAATTTTTACGAAAATAATAATTTTATTAATTAATAAAAATTTATTTGAAAAAAATAAAAGCATTCAATTTTGTTTTTAATGGTACAAAAATGTAAAATAGGTATATTTTTCAAGTCAATGGAATATTGTAAATCTAAACAAAAAGTGTGGAGATGCCGGGGATCGAACCCGGGGCCTTTCACATGCAAAGCGAACGCTCTACCACTGAGCTACATCCCCTTCTTGGTAGGAACAATTGTTATTGCGCATTTAAAACAAAATAATTACATGTGCTACACTAAACATTTTGTTTTATTAATATTTTAAAATTAACTTTTTTTTTGCAATTACATGTTGGTAAAATGTTTGTATATTGGTCATCGTCACTTATTTGAAATTAAAATAGAGTAGCGGAAATTAAATAATTATTATTTCGGTCATTTAGATCAAAAGTCACTCAAAGACCAGCGTAGTAGTCAGCCATAACGTTTTGAGTTCAAAGTGTGAAATACTAAAATGGCTGTTTGTTGCGTAAATTTTGTTAATTAATTTATTTGTTTATGTTGTACTATCAAATTAACGTCAAATATATTCTCGTAAGATTATTTTAGAGAATGTGAGTAGGTTTTCTTCATAAATTTTTTTACTCTTTCATGAATGAACGTACGTTTTTTTTTTAAATTTGCGTTCGAAGTTTAAGCGTCCTGTGATAATAACATGTGGTAACTTGGTGTATTTGAAGTTTTTTAAGGGTTTCTTTGTTTGAAAAACATGTTCAAACCTACGTTTGGCCAGACAAACACAACGCCTGGATTTGGCGCCTTTGCAGGAACTGCCAATGCTAATCCGTTTGGACAAACTCCAGTTTTCGGTAAAACTACTAATACAGGTTTTGCGCCACCAACGTTTGGTGCTAGTGGTTCAACCAGTCTTTTTAGTAACACACTATCTTCAAGTGGAAGTTTGTTCGGTTCTTCTACGAATACTCCGACGTTCGGTCAAGCTCAAACAACACAACCATCTTTTGGTTTTGGAACCACACCTCAACCAACTACAAATTTATTTAGCGCTCAACAAAATGCAGGAAGTGGTTTGTTTGGATCAGGAACAACATCTGCATTTGGAGCAAATAAACCTCCATTTGGATCTGCTTTTGGAACAGGAACAAATACTGGTTTGTTCGGAGCCCAACAACCTGCACAAACTTCTACTTCATTGTTTGGTCAAACTACAGCAACAACTGGGACAGGATTGTTTGGAGGAACCACCAGTACTTTTGGAGCATCTAATCAACAGACTGGAACAGTTATAAAATTTAATCCTGTAACAGGAACAGATAGCTTACTCAAAAATGGAGTATCTCAGACTGTTAACACTAGGCATTTTTGCATTACTTGCATGAAAGAATATGAAAGTAAATCGTTAGAAGAACTTAGGTTAGAAGATTATATGGCTAACAGAAAGGTTCATATATATTTATATAACTTCTTATTTATACAAAAATGAATTATTTTAATCCTTTTTTAATAAGTGATAATTTTCATTTTTAAATAATAAACTTTTAGGGTCCTCAACAAAGCAATTTATTTGGAACTCCTACTCAGCAACCATCATTGTTTGGTGCTACATCTGGAGGTACTTTATTTGGAAATCCTCAAACTGAAAATAAAACTTTGTTTGGACAAGCAAATACAACTTTAGGTGGTGGCTTTGGTACAAGTAGCACCAATGTTTTTGGTTCAACCCCATCTGCTACAAATTCTTTTTTTGGCAACAAACCAACTTTTGGTACAGCAACAACTACAGCTCCAGCATTTGCATTTGGTTCTTCTACAACTAATAATTTATTTGGTAACACTCAAAATAAAAGTTTTGGAAGTAAGTATTGAAAACTTGTTACAAATTAAAATTGAGTTAATATTTATAAAAGGCTTATATTTTTAGCTACGCCACAAACTGGAATATTTGGGCAAACACCTAATCAACAGCCTACTACTTTCGGAGCAAACACAGGATTTCAAGGCTTCAATGCACCACAAAACCAATCTATTGGGTTATTCCAAAACAAATCTCAAACATCTTTTAATATAAATCCCACTACAACCTCTGCATTTACATTTGGAACAAATACATCCACAAATCAGGGTATTTTTGGTAATAAACCTGGTACAACAGGATTCGGCACCAATACGGCTACAAATTTCGGAAGCTTCGGAACTGGTGGGGGTTTTGGCACATCGACTGCTACTACGTCATCCGCATTTAAACCTACCACAACTAATTTTTCTTTTGGAAACAGTGGAACCTTGGGAACAGGAACATTAGGAAATAGTGGTTCTCTGTTTGGAAACACAGCTCAAAAACCAGGAGGTCTTTTTGGAAACACCACTAATACCAATTTGTTTGGGTCATCTTTTGGTAGCACTCCAAATACCTTTGGAGTTACCGGTTTAAATGTGGGTGCATCTGGCGGAAACAGTTCTTTTGGGTATGTATTATTTTTATAAAAAAAAAAACCAAAAACTATTCATTTAACACTAATTTAAAAATATTTTAATTTCAGGAATACATCTTGGATGCCTTCTCAACCATCAAATTCGTCTACACATCCAGCTATTTTAGCTTTGGCATCGGTACCGTTTGCAGATTCACCTTTATTTAAAAATTTATTACCCGTAAGTTAATTTAAATTTGTAATTTTTTTTTTTTTTTTACGAATTTTAATTTATTTATTAAAAGATTTTTTTACTTTCAGGCTTCTGGTAAAACAGATTCTCTTTTGAAACCAAACAACGCGGTCACTCAGAAAGCAATGTTAGCATGTAAAGATCTTAAAGTTTCACCGAAAAATTCCGTTAAAATAAAATTAAAACCTATTGCAACTCCTCTGACTAAAGTAAGTAAAACATTCCTTTCTACAAGTAACGTAATTGTAAAACGTGTATATTTTAATTTAAAATTTTTTTTTTTTTTGTTTTTAGAAATCATTATTTGAAGGTTTGGACGAATCCGATGTTGTTTCACCTTCCTTTGCTACCACGTCTAACGTAAAAAAATTGTCGCTTAAACCAAAACCACTCAATAACAGCATGGTATCAGATAGTTGGGTCGAAAGTATATCGAATAAAGAAAATCACAATGATAAGGCCAACACACGGAGAGTGAGCTTTTCGGGTATTCCGAACGAATGCACCAACGGAGAAAAAGATAGTTTTTACATAAGGCGAAATCCTTTATTTAAACCTCAAAGACAAAATGCTCTTGTCGATTTGGAACAAACGAGTTTGATGGTTAATCGTGAATCGCCTAGTGGAAAGGATTCGGAGCAAATAAATACGACAAATGGAAATAAATCTGTTGGCACTCCGTCGAGCAGCATTTTACTGGACGAAACAGCAAAGGATTCGAGTAAACATAGTAACAGCAGCTTGGGTGAGATATTTAATAATTATTTAATTGAAAATAAAAATTAAAAATTGTTATAAAAGTTAATCGAAAATTTTTAATAATTCAGATGAAACGCGAGCTTTCTTAAACGATACATCTCCCTACGACGACGAATGGGAACCGCATCCAACGGGAATAATTCTTCGAAGAATGGATTATTATACAATACCATCATTAGATGATTTAATTAATTTGGTGGATAACGACGGTTCGTGTGTGGTTGATAATTTTTGTATAGGTCGTCTCGGGTATGGAAATTTGTACTTTGATGAAACAATAGATGTATCAGGTTTAAATATCGATGAAATAGGTAATTTATTAAAAGTGAAAGATTTTCTTCTTAAATTTTAAATAATCAACTGTTGACCATAGTTTAAATTTAAATATATATTTTTAGTTCATTTTCGACATAAAGAAGTAAACGTGTATCCAGATGATGACAAAAAACCTCCCGTTGGAAATGAATTGAACAGAAAATGTCAGGTGACGTTGGAACAAGTTTGGCCGGTAGATAAAACGACTAGGGAACCGATTAAAGATCCCGATAGGCTGTTAAAATTAAAATATGAGGATAAATTAAGAAGATCAACGGCCAAAATGGGCGCTACATTTATAGAGTATCGGCCATCCACCGGTTCTTGGGTATTTAAGGTACGGAAAACTTGCTTTTGGAGTTTGAAAAATTTTTTTTTATTTTATTTAATAAAATAAATTTCAATTTTTTTAGGTCGATCACTTTTCTAAATATGGATTAACTGAATCGGATGACGAGGAGCCTGTAATAGATGAAACCAAAGTATTAATCCGGGGTCGGCCGCAATTAAAGATTCCTTCTGCTGCTCCTCCACCTGAATCAGCAGTTGCTGCTACCACCGCCGTGCAATCAGAATTTTCTCCTAATAAATATCCTTTTCAATCTCAAACGACAACCATGAGCAAAACTCAACAAAGTTCAAATGTTTTGTCTCCCATCTTACCCCCCGTTCATCAAACTTTTACCATAAATGATTCTCATACGAGTTTTATGAATTTGACTGGTGATAAAATTCCAGGTAATCAAATTTAAAATTAAGTAATTTTAATTTCATGCTTAATCCGATAAAATAATTTAAAATTTTTTTTTTAGACAAAGGAAATTACACTGGATCCGAATTGGGCTTGGACATTGATGAAGAAATGGATGAAGAAGAACCCGTCGATGGATATGATTTATTGAGAAGTTTAGATGCAGCGACGGAACATTTAAGTCCTTCTGTTCATTTGGCACGCCGTACCGGAATCGATTCGCACAGAGTACAATTAATGAAAGCCTCACTCTTCGATGAAAACAGTACGTTTCCGTTTGTTAAACGGAATTTAAAAAAATTGGTCAATTCATTAGTAAGTTTTTTAATTTTTGAACGGTTTCGTTTCAGAAGATGATGAATTTAACGACATTGGTAAATTTGATGGAGTGCAATTAATGGATTACACGACACTGGGAGAAATACCTGAAGATCACTTGGATAATTTGAAATTAACACGAGGGCTTCATGCTTTTAAATCGAAATTCAAAACGCAACAAATATTTTCCAAACCAGTCACCCAATTCGATGCGAGTGAGTGTAAAAATAAAAACTGGTTATTTTCAATAACATTTAATTAGTTTTAAACAAAGTTAATTAACCATTGTCAAAATTTTTTGTAAATTTATCAAATAATATAATAATAATATTTAAATTATTTCGAAAAGCTTAAAAAACGTTAAAAATTGTAATATAAAAAGTAATTACTGGTTTAAAAAAAAAAAAAAAATGATTAACGTAGGAATAAAAGTAGAAAAAAATTTTATAATGATAATTAAATTACATAAAAACATTTTTAATAAATAAATTTTAATAAAATGGTTTATTTATAGGAATGGACACAGCATCAGTGGACCTTTTACCAACACCTTCTCTGTATACGCAAAATCTACCAATATTGAGGCCGAGACCGAAAACGGTTAATATGATTAATTCCAGTTCAGTCTTGCCCTATTCAAAATCATCTCTCGCCAAATATTCAACAAAGTAAGATCTCGTAAAATTTTCCCGTCGTAAATTTTCTTTAATTATTACTCAATTACTCAATCGATTGTAAATTTGAATTTTTTTTTTTTTTTAGGTGTGCTTCGGACAGCGGTATTTACATGGGAAGAAGTTTTAAAAACGGATGGGGTCCTAATACGAGTATTGTTACGTTAACTACATTGTGGAACGTGGATAATTTACAAGAAAATTTTTTAAATTTAAAAGGTAGAACATTAAACGATAGTTCTCGAACGGCTGTGCAAAGGCAATTATTGTACAAGTCGGCAGATGATAGGTTTAAGGTAAGGATAAAACGTTAAAAAATTTTTTTTCTGTTTTTTAAAATTTTATTTCGTCTAATAATAAAAACAATCATTAATAAATTATTTTTTGCACCGCAGGAAACGATCAAGGGTCATTTAATGATCCAATTAGAAAATTCTTGTCGAGGAGAACAAGATGGTTGTCCGCTTATGACTCCTCAACTTGGAGTTCAGGCTCTTCACGCTCATTGTTTACTGGCATCTAAAAAAGAGCCACAAAATGATTTCGAGGTTTATTGTCGTCAAGTATGGGAATTGTGCGTTGCCTTGTGGGGAAATTTGCCAGCTCTTTCAGCAGAAGGTATTTATTTATTTTGACTTTGGAAAATTTTTTTTTTTTTTTTTTTTTCATTTCAAAAACCATTTTAAATTAATTTCCTTATTTGTTTATTTTTAATTTCAGGGGATCCTTTAAGCCACAAAACGATTATGATGAGGAAAGAAGCAATCACGGAATGGTTACAAAAATGTGCCAGTAGGTCAATTAAAAAAGAAGTTGAAGAGTCCGATGGAACCTCGAAAAGTAATAAGCACGTCGAAAGTGTTTTGTCATTATTATCTGGAAAAGAAGTAAAAGAAGCTTGCAGTCGTCTGCAAAAAGTTGGTGAGGAAAAAAAATAAAACTTTTTATTTAAGTGATAAAATTTTATGTATCGACTTCCAAAATTTTTAATAACAATTTACGTCGATTTTAGGTGATCATTACGCTGCTTTATTGTTGACCAGCGGCCCATCTTCAAAGGCTTTCCTTCAAAATCAACTTTCAGAGTGGCAAAATGTCGGAGCGGATGCTTTCATCGATAAGAAAAAATTGAAATTATTTTGCTTATCCTCTGGTTTGCCTTTGTTGTCGTCTTCTCAGGGTGTTATTAACATTTGTGAAAAATTAGATTGGAAGAGAGCATTTGCCGTACATTTTTGGTAATTTGATTGAAATGAGATAAAATTTGAATTGATAAATGAGATTTTAAAACTGTTTTTTTTTTTTTGTGTATTTAGGTATTTATTGTCATCGGTGTCCACGATTGGAGATGTGATAAAAAAATACGAAAATGCTTTCGATGGACCGGAAGCTTACGCTCAGCGGCCAAATCCGCCCTACGGAGAAGTCATTACCAGTAGCGGTAGATACATTTATGATTTATGCTACCACATAATTAAGCTTTATTGTTTTAAATCACATCCTTTGGAACAACTGTTGAATCCGGCAACGTATACTTCTGATCCATTAGATCATCGACTAAGGTATTTTATATTATACTTTTCTAAAAATGGCAATCGTTAAAGTTTTTTGTATTTTTAATGCGATCACAATCGTTTTTTTAATTTTTCAGTTGGCTTTTGGAACAAGTTCTTGCTTCTCTCGGTTACGTTCACGTTTCGAAAATGTCATCGGCCGTAAACTGTGTTAGTTTTGCATCTCAACTCGAAGCCTACGGATTGTGGCAGTGGTCTGTTTTTGTTTATCTTCACACACCTGACAATTTTAGGTAAATCTTTAATTTAATTTAATTTTTGGGTAAAAGGCAATGCAGGCATAAAAGGAAATATATAATATACGTGTATGTGTGTTGTTTGTTTAAAGGCGGAAACAAGCAGTTTTGGATGTTATCAATAGACACGTATCTATAAATGAAGATCGAGAACTGTCTCCGGAAGAAGTATTCGTAATAGATGAATTGGGGATTCCCAGCGAGTGGATTTATCACGGTAAAGCAACTCTTGCTCTAACTCAGTTTCGTTATCACGATGCCGCTTATTATTTAATACAGGCAAGGGAATGGAACGAAGTCCACGAAATAATTATCAAACACATAGCTGCTGATGCCATTATAAATGGTAAGAAATGTAATTTATTACCATTCTCAAAAGACTAATTAATTAAAGGTGATCGTTTTGTTTTTTTTTTTGCAGAAAATTACGAATATTTAAAAGATTTATTAGAATCATTGGTTCCGAATGCAACCGTCATATCAGAATGGTTTTATTCCGGACAATTGCTTTGGGATTATTTAGAAGTGAACAGGGTAGTTCAACAAGCTTTAGCAGAACAAAACACTTACGAGTTAGAAGCGAGACAAGCTCAAATATCGAGCGTTTGTGCAAGAATAGTGAGGTGGCCATGTTTAACAGTTAAAGACAGGTAAATTACCGAGAGAGAGAGAGAGAGAGAGAAATAATGAAAATTTTCAAGAGGAAAAAAATTTTTTTTTTTTTCTTTTCAAAAGGCTGTGTCAGGCTGAAATCGCTAAAAGGATGGCTCACATTTATCGCAGTGTAATGCAACTGCAAGGAGGAATGACTCAAAAGGATATAACCGAAGTTGTTTCAAAGCTACCTTTGCCGGAAGATTATTTAATGGAAGAAATGAGAGTTATAAAAGAAGTATTTCCACCAAGTTAAAAAGAAATTTTGAATTTAAACGCGACAATAGGTATTATAATAAAAAGGTTAGGTAAACAGAAAATGGATTATTTAATGAATTTTAGTCCTTTTTTTTTTTTTTTTGTATTTTCTGTGTAACACTTTAGTTATTAATTTAAAAACAACAAAGTATTCAGTATAAGAAAAAAAAGTGATCATCAATTTTAAAATATATAGGATATCTAGCGAAAAGTTTATAATTTTTTTTTTTTTTAATATTTTTTTTGAACTTTTTACTCAGTTGTAAATATTCATAATAATATAAAAAAATTTTTGTGACATTTTTCTATAATTATTTCAAGTCTACTTTTTTTTATTTAAAGAAGTTACCCTTTGTGTCCTCCTGATTCATGTCTCATAAATATTATTCTTTTTGAATTTAAAGTTATATTGACAGTGAAAACGAAAGCCATGTTTATTGCTAATGGATTTGAAGACGAATTTGTATGTTTAAAAGAAGTGGTGTAAGAAAAGTCAAAAGAAAAACTTTGCATGGCCATTGAGTCAGCCATTTTGAATTATGATTTTTTCAAAAATTAATTTTGAATGTTTAAAAAACATAGAATAAATATTTTTAATTAAAATATTTCATCTTTTTAAGTAAATAATTAAATAATTATAAAATTTTGATTTTAAAATGAAAAAAAATTTTTAGGCGGGAAAGTTAAAAGTCGTGGCATTAGATTTACTAAGCTTGTCATAAATAAGAAGTTCAATATTGTCAATAGTCGTAAAAATGGCTTCTCTCAAAACCGTGAAATCATTATACGAAAATTTAAAAGCAGAATGGTCAAAAAAAGATATAAATCTTGATTTATGTGAAAATCTTTTGAATAATTTAAAGGTAATAATAAATTATTTTTAATAATTATACAATTTAATAAATTATTTTTTTATTTTTAATTTAATCGTTTTTATTTGTTTTGCGTGAATTATTTTTCAGGTGGGATTGACTGAATTGGTGTTTTTACCCACTACAAATGCTGTGGCTTCATCTCAGGAGCTATTATTAGCAAGTATGTATTATTTTTCAGATAATTAATTTATGGTAATTCACTTTTAATAATATTTAATCAATAATATAATATTTTAGGAAATATTTTGGAAATTGGTGCATTACACAGTATTGCCATTGGAACAAAAGATCCACAATTATCATTTGATAGATTTGAAAGATACATGGCTCAATTAAAGTGTTATTATTTAGATTACAAGTAAGTTTTTATTTATTACTTTTTTTTAAAATTTATTTAATTTTTACAATGCCTGAAAATAAATATAAAAAAATTATTAATATTATTATTTACAGAAGCGAACTTCCAGAGTCTCCATATAAATATCAATTATTAGGATTAAACCTATTGTACTTGCTTAGTACAAATAGAGTCGCTGAATTTCATACAGAGTTAGAATTATTGCCAACAAGTCAACTTGATAATCCATATATAAGGCATCCAGTTTCTCTAGAACAATATCTTATGGAGGGAACATACAACAAAGTAAAAATATTTGTCGTCGTTATTTATAATTTTTAGTTGTCGTAATTAAATCGATTTCATTTAAATTATTAATTGAATGTTTTGGTGACAGATATTTTTAGCTAGAGGTAATGTACCTGCACCAAGTTATAATTTGTTTATGGATAAACTTTTGGAAACCATAAGAGGTGAAATAGGAACATGTTTAGAAAAGGCATATCATAAAATATCATTATCGGGGGCTGCAAGAATGCTGTACAATAATCCAGCACAAATGCAAGAATATGCCAATCAGGTAAAAACTAATTATTATTATTATTTGTTGCTTTCGATCTAATAACCATTTGGAATCATTAAAAAATTTCTTGTTATCATTATCTCAGAAAAAATGGATTCTTGGTGCTGATAAGTTTTATCACTTCAGCAGCGAGGAAAAGAAAATGGATGAACCTTTGCCAGCTTTGGAATTGGCTTCTCAAGCGATTGAATATGCAAGGGAATTAGAAATGATAGTTTAATTTTGAATTTTTTTTTTGATTAATTATTTTCATTTTTTGTTTATTTACTTATTATAAAACTATTTTTATGTTTTACAATTAAAGAAATTATGATGAGTGCTTTAAATACTATTATAAATTTTTTTTTTACAAGTTTATATCCTTAATGCGATACGAATATAGTTTTTAATTATTTTTCAAAATTAAAAGTTAAAAAATTATGGTTGTGGTGTATGTCACTTTCCATTCAATGGAAGAAAATATTAAAATTATTATTATTATTATTAGAAATTATTTAATTCCCAAAAAAAAAATAAATAAATAAATTACATAAGTTGAAAAAAAAATGAACAATGTTAAAAAACTAATTTAAATTTCAAAGGTTAAATTTTTTTTATTTTTTTATTATTATTATTATTATTATTATCAAAATAAAGGATAAAAAATAAATGATAAGGTTAGAATAAAAGAGAGAAAGAGAGAAAGAAAAAAAGGCGAATAATTTAAAACCTTTCAAATGATCCGTAAAATAAGAATCACATTTACTCAATCATCATAAACTGAAAGCAAAAAAAAAAAAAAAAACTATTGTTTTTTTACGATGAAAATCAAAAAACTCTTTCCTTTTTTTTTTTCTTCCTTTTATCCTTTTTCCATTTTCTTTTTTTTTTTTTTTTATTTAAATAAAATAACAATTTTAAACGAACATAAAATTGAAAAAGGTTTATATAAAAAAAAGGGAAAAAGGTTGAATAGTTAAGTAATTGAACAATAAGTTTTTATTTCTTTTATTACGAAAAAAAAAATTATTTAATTAATTTTATTTATTTAAAAAAAAAAAATTATTACTGACGGTAATAAATTATTTATATATTTAATTTTAGGTATTGTTAATAAAATGTGACAATTTATTAAAAAAAAAAAAGTATAAATAAAATAAATATTTTTATGAAAGATCAGTGAACTGTGTGTTTATATAACCCTTGGCAAAAGTCACAAGTGCATAAATTTTTTTTTTTTTTTTTGTGTATATCCTGTTGTTGTTGTTGTTGTTGTTGTTTTTGGACATGGTGGTGGTGGTGGTGGTAGTGGTGGTGATAATCCAAAAACTCGTAAATTTTATGTGAAACTTTCTACTAACAAGACTTTTTTCAACCTTTGAATATGCCACAAGAGATTTGAACGCATGAAAGTAATAAAAAAAAAAAAAAAAAATCTTTAAACAAGAAAATCTTGATTTTATCCCAGACTGGAAGGTGATTCATGGCGCCTTTGCCTTTTTCACTTCCGTTTTTACTTTTTTTTTCTAAAAATGTTTTTCTTTTTTTTTTTTTTTCCTTATAAAAGACGATCGTAAAACCAAAAAAAAGGAAAAAAGGAAAAGAAAAAAAATTTTTTAAATTTTTATACAGGTGAAAAAATTTTAGTTTTTTCTAATACCGGAAATAAATTGTTTAAAAGGAAAAACTATTTTTTATTTAATTTATAAACGAACAGAAAAAATGATGGAAGTGAAATAGGAAAAGTGTCAGATGGAAAGAAAAACTTTTGGAAAAATAGATTTTATGGATTTCTTCTTCGTGCGAGGTTAAATGTTTTTCGGTTAAAAAGTCTTTTTTCATCCCTTTTTCCCATAACTTTTTCCTTTTTTTCCTTTTCTTCTATATATATTTCTTATTTTGGAAACCTTTGTTTACGCCTTCAATTTTCCTTTTTTTTTTTTTTTTTCATTTCCGGAAAATTTTCTTTCTCGGCGGTTATATTACGGTCAAAGCTTATCTTAATTCGAATTTTTTTCTTTTTTTTTTCCTTCTTTCGTCAATATTGTCTCCGTTCGTAGATCTTTTAAATTTTCTTTCTTATAAAAAAAAAAAAAATTACCTTTTTTCTTTTGTTTTGTTTTATTTTTTTTTTCCTTCGTTTTGTTTTTTATTTTTTTTATTCTTCTTATATTACTTGAAATTTGAGATTTGATAATAAAATAAAACGAAATATTTTTTTTACAAAACGTCCCCTCCCCCCCCCCCCCCGGTTTTTTTAAAAGAAGATTTAAAAGAAATTTTTTTTTTTTGTAAACGTCATCGATTTGAACTCAATGATGACTTACGTAGTAGAAATAAAAAATTTTCCTTTTTTTTTGTCTTTTTCGTCATTAAATGACCCCTCACGAAAAAAAAAAAAAAAAACAAGAAGTCAAAATCGAACGGAAATTAATTTCCGAGTGAACATACGAACGGTCATAAAATATATTTTCCTTTTTTTCTTTCCTTTTATTTTATCTATCGTTAAAGGAAAAGTTTTTACGTCGATCTCATAATTGATCAGAGGTTAAAACAAAAAAAAAAAAAAAAATTTTTACGACAAATCCTTCTTCCTATTCCTCCCCCCATCACCGACCGCCGCCGCACCCCCTTCCCCTCCCGAAAAATCTTTTTTTTCTTATTGGTCGAAAAAAAAAAATTTTCTCGTTAATGTAAATAATAATAATAAATAAAAATTTTTGTTTTAATTTAACATTGAAAACTTTTTAACTTATTGTGATTAATCGTTTTTCCGAGAAAAATAAAGGAAAAAAAATTTCCCGTAAAATAATTTTTACTTTATAAAATAGATTGTTATCAATTTTCTTTTTATCCCGCCCCCATCCCTCTCCGCTTCCCTTCCCTCTTTCTTTTCCTCGGAAAACCTTCTTCTATCCATAAGACAAAAACGAATTTTAAGAAAATCCCACTAATGATTTTTTTTTTTTTTAAAAAATGTCGATCGCTTTTCTTTACTAAACGGAAGTGAAACGTAAGAACTTTAAAAAAGTAATAAAAAAGAACAAACAACTATTGTGAAAAAAATTAATTTTCCGGGTAAAAAAATTTAAAATGGCCGAAAAAAGCGTCGGTTTTTAACTGGGGGAAAAATCCTAACGGTTTTCATTTTCTTATTTAAAAACATTTTCTCTCCCATATTTTCTTCTTGTTGGTCGGTTGTTTTCTCTTCATTTCGGTTTCTAAATTCACTTGTTGATGGTTTTTTCATCGTTTAGAAAATAAGGGAATGAAATAATGATATTACGTGCCAGAACCGAAAGAATAATAGCCGATGAGGTAGATAGTGGTAATTAGAAAACAGGCGATAATATATTTTATTATATAGGGACAGACAACAACAACAATGTTTTCACTTATTTATTGTTTGTATATTTTATTAAACAAACAAACATTTTAAATAAAACATTAACAAAACCTTATTTAATAAAAAAAAAGAAAAGTTTTGAAAAACGATTATTACGTAATTAAAAATTAAGTGAGTTAACGAATGAAAAATGGGAGAGGATAAGATAAAAAAAAAAGGAATAAGGAAGGGATTTGACGTAAGAAGAAGAAGAAGACACGTACGTACGAACAGAAAGACGGTCACACACGCACGCACGCACACACGCACACACACACACGAACACAAACAAATTCTTAAAAAGGCTACTAAAATCATGTAAAATGGGTAGCACGTAACCAATTAAATTATGTTCTAGTCTCGACTTGCTAATGTAATATCGAAACCATAACTCGTTAAAATACAAAAAAAAAATTTAGTTTAAGGAAAATCCATTTTCTTTTATTTGTAACGTTTTCACACACTCGGAGTTGGAAAAAAAAAGGGAAAGAAAGGAGGGGGGGAAAGGATGCGAGATTTTATTGAAGAAAGGAGAGAGAGAGAAAAGGTTTTTGTGGAAAAGTTTTTAGAATCACGTCCGTTGATCAAACAAGAAGAAGAAGAAGAGAAAGAAGGTTTCTGTCAAAAGGACAAGAAGAAAATTGTTTTACTGAAAAACTCAATTTGAGGTTATCCTCAATCTAAAAAAAAAAAAAAAAAAAAAAAAAAAAAAAAGGTTTGAATTTTCTTTTTTTTTTTCTTCTTATTCTTTTTTTTCATATTCCTCTCTCTCTCCCTCTCTTTTAACTTCCTTTACATTTATTAAATAAACGTGACAATTTCGTTTTTTTTTTTTATTAAATTTTCTTTAAAACATATTCAAGTTTTCTTTTTTACTTTTATAAATTTCCAAACGTTAGAAATGTCTTCTGCTGTTGTTCGAAAAGGAAAACAAAAAAATTTTAATTTAACTTTAATTAAAACGATTTTTTAATTCGATTTGTGACGTAGTCAAACAAAAATAAAACTAAAAAAAAAAAATTTAACGAGTAAAACAATACATTAAAACCCACGTGACATTTTTTTTTCTTCTTCCCCGACCGACGGATTCTAATTTTTTCTCGGTAGGAAAGAGAGTAAATTTTTAACATTTATTTTAACATCACTTTATTTTCCCTTTTAAAACATATTTTTTCTTATTTACTCCTCCTCCTCTTCCCTCGTTCTAATGACACGTGAACTTTAACACAGTTGAAATAAATAAAAAAATTATAATCATTTCTTTAACTGCCAAAATGCTGCCAATTTTAACGTTTAAACATTTATTATTTTTATTTTTTTTTCCTTTTTTTTTTCTTTTTCTTATTCCACGACAGAATAAATTATTTTACTTAAATATTTTGTTTGGTTTTGTTAACTTAAATGAGTTGTTTTAAACGTAATACATTTTATTTAAAAAAAAAAAAAAACGAACGAATGTCAAAAATACGAATTACGACGGTTAATTTTAAATTTTTTTCCCTCTTTTTTTTTACACATCGTTATTATTATTATTATTATAAAATTACCGGAAAAATGGGAAAATTCGATAAAAATTCGGAAGTGGTGGATAGGGGCGTTAGTAATTTTTTAAAAAGATATATATTTCAATTTTCTATCGAAAAAAAAAAAAAAAAACGTGGCAACAAGTCTAATGCATAAATTATACCGTTGAAAGTCTCGTTTCCTTTGTTTCCTTTTTTTTTCTTTTAAGCGTATCCCACATAAATTCTTATAACTGTAAAAAAAAATCTAAATTTTACAATTTTTTATTAATTTTCTTTTTTCCTTTGAGCTTTAATACAAAAAAAAGGAAGGAAAGGAAAGAAAGGTGCATC